CTCTGGGTGGCAGGTGTGGAGGATGCCAGAGCCTTGGCAGCCAGGCACTCTGCTTGGCTGTGGCTGCAGTGCTGGCCCTGGCATGGCATGCATGCTGTCTGCATTCCTGCAGCGGGGCTCATGGCCACCATCTCATCCCGAGTCTTCAGTCCTGCATGAGTGCAGGGTAGGGCACTTGGCAAGTGAGGTCTCTCCTCTGAAACTTCTCTAATTCCGGTGTCCTCCAGGATTTTGCACTGGGGGAGGACTCATCCTGCTCAAGATGTATCCAACATAACCAGTCTGCTGGTTTAATAGGTTTGGTGTCAAAGAAACTCCCTCCTCTGAGCTGGAGAGGTTACATCGTGGTTGCCAGAGACTGCTTGGGCCAGGAGCAGCCTTGTGTGCTGTGCCAAGCTGGTGTCTGGAGCCACAGCCCAACGTGCTTGCAGCCAGATGAGAGGCACCAGAAGGTCATCCAGAGCACCGAGGTCTGGAGCCAGATCTGTGTGTGAGCTGTGGGCTTTATGTGCCTGCCACTTCATTGCCAGGCTGCGGGTGACTCCCCTTGTCTTGACTTGCCAGCTTTGAGGTTTGCGATGGCTGAATCCCACAGAAATGGCCAAACTGGTGCCCTCCTCCACGGCCTTAGGCTCAGGGGACAGCAGCTGCTCGCCAGGCACGCAGGCAGAGCAGCAGCGGCCCATGGAGGTGGGTGTGGGTGGGTGCATGCCATGGGTGCAGCGGGGCTGGGGCTGTGGGCTGCCTGCCGCCGCTGGAGAGGGGCTCCAGCCCTTCAGCAGCACCAGCGATGGGACAGCCCCTGCTGCAGGGAAATTGCAAAATGGATTTGGCAGAAGCAGGAGCACAGCGTGCTAAATGGGCTAAGCTAAACCAGCTTTGCTTTGGGAATTTTTTTTTTTGTTGTTGTTCTCACAAGCCACTAAACACCACTTTGGGGTCTGAGCAGAGGCTGGGAATCCCTCTTCTGTTTCTGCCTTTTCCCTGCTTGTCCATTCCTAACTTGTCCAGTCCCTCGCAGGATCCCACAGGGCCCCCACATCCACTGCAGCAGCACCGTGGAAAAATGTGTCGTGGCTCGGCGGCCCTCGGCTCGATGGTCCCAAGGGACGGAGGGCTGGGACTGCCAGGGGAGCAGCGGCTGAGCCGCAGCCTGGCACGCTGGAGCCTGAGTGGGTGCCCCTGTGGGGCTGCCCATGCATTAGACACTTCCTAAAGTCATCTAGAGGGAAGCAAACATCGCGAAGCATTGCCTGGCCTTCCTCTACCTAGTAGAGGGAAAAAAAGAATACCCTGGAAAGCTATTCTGGTCTCGCATAAGTCTCAAGTGGAAAATTTCAGCTGAACTGATTTTGGCTGGCGGGGTTAAGGGAGGTGAGGCCCAGCTGCTGCTGGCTCTGCAGCACGCACGGACGGACGGACAGACTGACGGACGGCTCCGCAGGAGGCCGTGCCTGCCACGCGGGCAGGGCTGGGTCTGGCAGCGGCTCCGGTGGGGAGAAAGGAAACCTGAGCCCAGGGGAGCGCAGGGGATGGGATGCAGCCTGCAAACGCTGCGGCCGCTGTTGCCCCGCCCTGCCTGGGAACACACCGTCCCGACTCTCCGGGAGCCGAGGCTGCCTTCCCGCCTCATCCCGGTCTCCAGCTGCATCACTCCCCGCGGTGCGGCCCATGGACGGGGTGCGGCGGCAGGGCCGACCCCTGTCCTGCAGGAACAACATGGGGCATGTCACCAGCCCTGCCCCCGGCACAGGCCTTGAGCACCGGCCTTGAAAGCGTGCCAGGGCAGCTGGCCTCGGGCCAGGGACCGCGGCGTGGAGCCGGCGGGGGCGAGCACGTGGAGAAGGGGGTGAGGGGGTGTCCGCTCCTCATCCCGCCCCTCAGCGCCGATATCCCAGGAGCTAGAGCGGGCTGGGAACTTGATGTTCAGGTGTTCGTTGTTGGAAAATAGTAGTAATTAGTTGAAATCAAAGATTTTAATGGGAACGTTCGTATGTGCGTGGGAGACCGAGTCTCCTGCTCCTGTGTCCTGGAGCGTCTCCTGCCTTTCCCCTCTGTTTTGTACTAGCGGGGGTAGGTCAGTCCACATCCTCATATGGAACAGGAAGGTTTTGGATCCTCAGACAGCTCAAAAGAATGGGTTTTTAAGCCAGCCCTACAGACAGCAGCTGCCAGCAGAGCCCCAGCCACGTGGACCACCAGCTCTCAGCCAGGGCGGTGGCACAGTTCATACTGGAAAGGGGGTTTGTGATCCGGTGTCACAGGCTCACCGGGTACTTCTGGAGGGAAGAGGGCCCGGGAGGTCTCAGGTTCAGCCCCTGGCTCTGGGTAGGGTCAGACCAGGCTGCCCAGGGCTTCGTCCAGTCAGGGCTGGGAAAGCCTGCAGGAAAGGATCCCGACAGCCTGTCTGGGCAGCCCCTGGCCCAGCCTAACACATCCAGACAGCTTCCCCAGCCGCAGTTCCAGGGGCACTTCAGGGGCGCCTTCGAGCGTGACGTGGCGGCTCGGAGCGTGCGGCGACTGCCCGGCGCGCCCTGCCCGGCGCCGCCGGGACTCGGCCCGGCCGGGCACGGCCCGGGCTGCAGCGGGGCAGGGCTTCCCTGGCCGGGCACGGCCCGGGCTGCAGCGGGGCAGGGCTTCCCTGGCCGGGCACGGCCCGGGCCGCAGCGGGGCAGGGCTTCCCCGGCCGGGCACGGCCCGGGCTGCAGCGGGGCAGGGCTTCCCCGGCCGGGCACGGCTCCGGGCGGGCGCTGGAGCTCCCTGCTGGCCGCAGCTCCAGCGCCGCCCGACCGGCCCCCGCTGCCACAGCTCCAGCGCCCGCCTGAGAAAGCGAGAGGTGCGGGTGCTGCTTCCGAACTCGCTCTGGGGCTCGCTGGTAATGCTGGTGCTACAAAGGGGAGCCTCTGGGAGGAGGGTGTCCACCGTGGAGGACACAGCTGCTGCCCAGAACATCCCTCAGCCATCCCTGACTGCAGCAAGCGGCTGACAAGTGATCTGTAGCGCACAGCTCCTCTCTGCTTCATCACCGTCAGCCCGGGGATTTCCACTGGAAAGGTGGAATAAACTTCTGACACACAGCTGAATGGTTTGCTGCTCAAGGATACGATGAAGGGAATTAAAAGACTGGGTAGTTGAGCAAAATCTAAATTTTCTCAACTCAATAAAATCTAAAATCAGGATCTAAATGCAAACTCTTGGGCCCAAAGTATCTCCCCTATTTCAGTGATACAAAGGAGGTTCCCTGGATTGACATGGCACAGTAGGACAGGTAGTGTTACACGATGGACACTTGACAGATTGAGTTCTGCGCTATTCAAGCACGTAAAGAGAACATTAAAATAAAGGATTATATTTAACAGAACTTATGGGAAGCAGCCAGTTGAAGACAGGGGTACCCAGTCCCTGCTACCACATCCGAACTCAGGCTGACAAACAGAATAAGCTTTGTCCTATGAGCCAAGAAGGTAATCCTATTAATGCCCCTAATTCAGCTCAGAGACTGGGCAGCTGCAAAAAGATGAAATTATAAAGGGAAGAAAACTTGAAATAAAATTAATAAAGCTTGTTACTCCAAGTGTAAGGACTGTAAGAGGGAGGGTCCCCACCCTTCCCACTTTTTTTGAAAAGTGGAAAGGGGGAACAGCCCTGGAATAGCCCTGGGTTAAAGAGACCTTCGCCTGCCTTACCTTGGCAGCCCCTCTGCCAGTGCTGCAGACACCTCCTCCCCTCAGCAGTGAATCCAACAGATCATGCTTTTCCCTAAAACTCAGGGCAAGTACTTGATGCACCTGACTCTCACATAGTAAAGCAGTAACTATAACTGGAGTAGTGAATTACATGCTACTACTTACTTCAAATTTTAATAAAAGAATAAGAGCTCAGAGAAGGAGCAAGTCTGCAGTCAGTGCAATACTTCTAGCAAAAGGGAAAATTAGGTGCGTAACATCTGACACCCTCCTGCAGTACATGTGGCAGTCACAGGTATTTTCTCCTTCCATTATCACCAGACCAGTTAAACCATCATTGGTACATACCCTGTTCCTTCTCCTGGCTCCTTGCAGCAGTTAGCTGGCACTGCCAGCACCCACTGAGCACCCCCCCTGCTATGGGCAGCCACTGCCATCCTTGCTGGCATCCAGGCTTCTTCTTAGGGCTGCATCTGCTTTCCAGCTGTTGCCAGAGGCCTTAGCAAAGCCCTGAGAACATTCCCTCTCCTCCCAGAAGAGGAGACTTACAAGTCTTACAGTCCTGGTTCAGCAAGACCAATCTGGACCAGAACAAGGGAAGTTGCCCAGCTATCAAGGATTGAAAGATGTTTTCTAGCCTAAGGTGTGTTTCTTTTTTGGGGGGGAGGGGGGGGGGTGGGTGGTTTATTTTGGTTGGGTGGGTTTTTGTTTGGTTTTAGGTGTTTGAGTTTTTTCTAAAATAAAAAAATCCAAGGGTTCTATCCTGAGACATAGACAGCTCCACATACCCTGCCCCATCCCCACCCTCCCCCCCCAAAAAGCAGAAACCAGAGTACATAGGAAGCAGCAAAATATCCAGTGGTGGATCCAGGGCACCCACTTTTATTCTGATCCAATGTAAGCCAGTTGTGCAGCTGCTTGGACACACAATGAAAAGCTGGAACCACTTACTCCTGTTCCTAAGTAGTAACTGGCAACACCAGTACCACAGCCTTGTCTGGGCCCACAGCCCTGGATCTTCCTTAGGAAATGGAACACAGGCTGAAGGGCTGCATCAGGGAAGCACTCAGGCCAAAGCAGGCAGGGCTGTTTGCCATGCACGACCATCACCACATCACACAGAGGCACAGGTATGTGTCAGACACCTCTGCTCCTGCACAGCCTTGTCAAGCCAGAGGGGCTGCAGTTGTCTAGCGAGAACAGGGCTACATCACTTCCAAGTACTCTAAAAAAATCATCCAGCTTTCATATTTTGTAAAAATTCTGCAGTGCAGTTACAACATAAACAGTAGCACATAGCAAATCAAACTGAAATACTGTGTTCAGACTCCAGGTTGGCTTTAATGACAGACTCTCTTCAAGTACAGCAAGTATTTCTGCTCTGACACTGCTGCATTTATAGAGAAATTGGTTTCTACTTATCTGTGAGTTAACATAAAACAACTTTTAAAGACCATATGACAATCCTGTTGGATTATCTAACCTTAGGCAACTGTAGTTGCATTTAGTCAAAACCCACAAACCTTGTCTAGAAAGACCTCAACAGGTAAACTGAAGAGCTTATAACTGCTTGACATGGATCAGCTAGTAACTTCAGTTAAAAAAAACAAAACCAGGAACCCAAACCAAAACACAGACTTTCCCCTCTCATCTACTCCCTTTCCACCTGCACATTTAATTACAGTAGTATTTATTTCTTAGACTGCATCTCCAAAGCATAAGCCATTTTGTATCACCTAAATGGCCTGTAAAACTGTTCTGATAAATCCAAACTGAGAATTTACTTTCAAGTTCATAAAGTTTCATAAAATCTTTGCTCTAGAGAGTCAGAAAATAAAATCTCCTACCAGCTGGCACTCATGTAAAATACACTTGCAGCCAAAGGGTATAAATTTTTCCTCCAACTAAAGGGTTTTAAAAAGTCCCTTTTGTCTGTAGGATGCAGACCATGGTGCATCATGTCAAAACCCTAAAACCCCCTTCTCCTCCTTCCCCCAGTTTTCAAGTAGGGAAAGTTAAAGTGAGAAAGTAAGCAAAGGACCTTGAAGAAATCAAGAGGCTGCAGTAACACAATAAAGAAATTCTGACCAGTTCAGGCAGTTCATTACTCAATGCACGTGTATGTGCAGCAGTCTGATTTACCTTTACATTATGGATACATTTAAATGAAGTCCAGTGCAAGAGAGCATTTGAGATTTCTGTAGTTTTACAGAAAGTGCAGCCCTCCCCTAGAGTCAGCACTATACAGAACTAGCTGAAGTTGAAAGTTAAGCCTTTTCAAATAAACACAATTAAAATAAGAGCCAAAGGTTCTGTGACAACATGCAGATTTGGACTAACCCATGCTGCCTCAGGGCACTGCATGCACACGAGCTGGGACAACCTCTCTGTGCACACCCATGCCTAGTGCAGGTTAGCTGGTTGGTGTGAAGAACTGAATCTAAGGTCATGCTCTAAAAACACACCACAAATTGCCTTTTAGCCTTCCAGGAACTTACATGACTTTCACTTCATACAGATTGAACAAACTTAAAAAATTTTTACTGTTTAACACAAAGCTGAACTGGTGGGCTTGGGAAAAGAAAGTTTCTCAAATCAATCACATATACATCTATTTTATAGCTATCTGCCTAGTTTCTCCCAAAGTTAGCCTGAAAAACAGTAAAATCTACACAAAGTTTTATTGCAATCATACAAGGGATACATCACAGGTCAAATACAACAAATACTATGATGCAATTTTACATTTATTAAACTACAGTTCAAAGCACAAATTTACACATTCTAAATACACTAAAACATCTAATGAAGTCACACTGGTCTCCCACTGACATTTGATATATCTGGGCGAAAGACAATAACTTTACAAGACTTTTCTAACAGGAATCCTTAGTATAAAAACTGTGTACTTGTATGTAAACTGTTGAAGAACCCAAGTGATGGGTTTCCATCTCCACTAAGTCATCCATTTTGTTGCATATTTAACGCTCAGGGGTTGAATGAACTTGATTTTAAATTTGGACACCATTATCTAACCCTCCCACCCCCCACTGAATTTAGCTGTAGCTTGTTTTGCCTGGTCCCCATTACTATTACTATTTTTTCAAGTTTTGAAGAGAATGAATTGAATTCAAGACTGTTCCATTTCTTCCACATTGGAATGTTGACCAGACAAACTACAGACTTGCAACTGCAGGTCTAAATGAAGCGTTAATGCCTGTTTAAGCTGCAGTGGAAAAGCGTTCTTCCGGGCTCAGCTGAATGCACGAAGGCACAAAGAAGAAGTTCTTCATCAATGTGTCTGAAGCAATCCCAGCATCTTGCATCTCATCCCTGCAGCAGGAAAGGTCAAGAGATGTTATAGTACGTTTTCAGGTTCAATTTCCCCTCAGAAACCAGCCTCCACACAGCATTTGAAGCCAAATGCCCCTGTGTGGCTTGGCCCCTGGCTTGGCAGAAGGGAGCCCAGCTGTGCCAGTGCCTGGCACACTCAGAAATGCTGCCACTCTCCAGGGCTGGGAGCACAAGGCCCTGCCTGCCTCAGTGCAGGAATGCATTACCACACTCTCCATCACCACCAGAGCATCATTGCCCTTCCTGCCTATGATGGTGCCAACACTGTACACAAGCTGCAGTTACTTGTATTAGGAAAGCTCAAAGGTTGACATTGAACAGCTTTTGTTAACCCAGCAAGACTTAACAGCCGCCACTGAACTCACAGGTGAGATCAGTCAGATATTTTGCTTTCCTTTGTCACCCCTAAAGTAAAGTAGGCATTTTATCACAGATCTCAGTTTAGTCTCAGCAGTCAGACAGAGACAAAAAAAAAATGCACAAACTAAAAAGGCACATTCTTGCACTCAGCATTTTCCTATATTTGCCATTGAATGTAATTTATAGGTGTACACTTCTGAAGGAAGCAAAAGCAACCATGCCACTATCAAGATAGTTTACTTACCAGTCACTGAAAGACATCATGTAGTAAATCAGTGGCTTCTGATAGTCGTTAAAGGTAGACTGTTCACCTAAGGTACCAGAACCCATATTGTCAAAGATCAGCCAATCTCCAACGCTCAACTCGGGAAGAAGACACTTTTCCACAATTTGATCAAGCTCATCACAGGATGGACCCCAAAGGCTGCTTGCAAACAGAGGCTCATCTTCCTTGTATTTCTATATGGAAATGATGAGGCAGTTCAGGCTTCAGTTTATTGAATAAGAAAATTTTCAAATATACAGAAGGTTAATTTATGTAATTATATATGTATCAAGTGTTAAATATATCTTCAATAATACAAGCATAGTAAGGGCTACCTCTGAAGAATATAAAAGGACTCACCTTGTGAACCTCTGGGATAGTATTCAGTTTCTCAGACAATTTACTTGCAAAAGAACCATAAACACCATCATTTATGTAATATGTAAATACTGGTTCATCATCATTCCTGGTTTGCTCCACTGGAAGTAAAAAAAGAAGTTGCCTTGCATGCATGTTTTGTCATAAGTAGTCCTTTTGCAATCTAACTTAAGTCAGCTGCTTTCTCCTGACAAGGGGGTTCCATATATACTGGAATGGGAGAATTACAAGCAGAGTAATCTGTATGAGACCAGATTATAAATTCAGTAATAACATTAAGTGTGAGGCTTAATAAAATTAGTAATTTCACTAATAACTACTGCTAAGAATATAAATCCAGAGAACCAGAGAAGTAGCTTGTTCTGTGACATGATTTTTTTATGTTATAATACAGAATATTTTTATGTTCTAACACACCATATGTGATACACCCAATATATGTTTAACCTAGTAAGGATATAAGAAGCATGACAAAAATAAGTGAGATACACAGATAACATATGTTATTCAAAACCCAAAAGGCATGTTACAGCGCAAGAATTAGGGAATGCACTAAATATATAACAAACTAGTCTATTCCAACTAATGGTGGGCAGTTACCTGTACTGATTCATAACACAGAAAACAAATCCAACCCTTACCTCCAGAAGGAAGAAGTTTATCATACTCAACAGTCTTCTTTGCAATGACATTCACTGCCAGTGTAAATGCAGATGAAACATAGTAACATCCAGGCTCTGCAATCACATCAACACCAGATTCCTTAGGAAAGTAGACATCCAGCAATGGCCTGATGACATGATTAACCTGGGAAATTGAAGTCAGAAGTAAGACCAAAGAACTCAGCTTATAGGTGTATCAGACATACATGCACTTCCAGTCAGCAACAGGTCTAGTCAGCACACCAAATGCATTCTCTAGTCCTCCATTGTCTGAGAAATGCCTTTATCAGAGGTCCATAAATTATAAGGAAACATGTAAGAAAACTGATCATTCTGCTGAACACTGAAGATTGAGAACCATGAGTCTGAGTACCACACAGTCTCTGTTACAACCAAAGTTAAAGCTCTCCTACACTCAGACTATAATTTTAATGCCCATGCAGCACAACAGATAGTGTAAAAAATTACATATGAACCCACAAGAACAGGCAAAGTGATCAGTTCTGAATACTATTATATTAGGAACAAAATTATTTAATACTAATGTTCTTAAGGCAGATATTTGAAGATTAACAGATATTTTGGACAAGTAACAGAACCATATTGAGAGAAAAGCACTGACTGCTGTTAGTAACTCCTCACTACACCACTTTCACTGTCCTGAATTAATGGAGTCCATGTTTCAGACAACAACCCTGTAAATTTGGTATCCTGTTTTATGTGCCACTTCATACTAAAGATGGTACTTAGGCCAAATCAGAGGCCAGCCAAATCAAGACCTTTAGCTTTCAGTTCTAAAGCAAAATACTGGAAGTTTTCATCCAGTAGCGACAGAGTTTATGGTCCAAAGCATGCAAGAGTCACCAGCTGAACAACAACAGTAAAAAACAACTTGAATTACTACTGCTAGGGTTGCTTCAGATAGTAATTTAATCTCTAACACCCTTAAAATCAGCAGTCACCCAGGATGATCAGGATTAAAAAGAAGCAATGATCAGCTCCAAGAACTGATTACACTATCTATGATCAAGAATACAAACCCAACTAGTGGGATCTTGAGTTACAGTCTAACACAGAACTTAAACCATGTTTTAGCTATCAACTCAATTTGCAGTTTAAACACTTCCGTTTCTTCAAAAGTAAGAGTTTCAACTTCCAACACATTGCATACCTCTTCCAGCTGAAGTTCTGAGCCTGTGAAGCCCCCACCAATATCCAGCATATTCATCTTAAAGCCAAATTCTTCCTAAAATGCATAGGCAGAAGGCAAGTACATGAACAACTATAAATGCAAAAGTATGTTGTTGCTCCTTACTGTGGTTGTTTTCTGTGTATTTAAGCTTTTGAAAATATTTAGCTGAGTACATCTAATGAGGGAGTAAGGGCATAGTACAGCTCCATTACATCTAGCAGTAAAGCACTGGGATGTCAGTAGAGGCTGGTTACACAATTCCTTGCAAGTCCCACAGCAATATCAACTCTCATCTCTTGGCTTTTGTTTTATTCAGACAGTAATTGCTGAACAGGCGGTGGCTTCTGACAAAAGACAGCTTTAGGATTTTACAAATTTTGTGACAAGACCTTTACAATGACTTTGCACAAAGATCATCAAGATTGTCATTTTTATTGCCCCCATGTGTGACCAGCTAAGGCACTGCAGTAATCAGAGTAAAAAGACTTGCAATCTTCATTTAGTTTACAAACTTCTCATACCACAATAGGTGCCAGCATATATAATTGATCAACTTCAATGTAACCTAAAAGCATCAGTTGTGTATTTACAGGACTGAGATCTGAATATCAAAAAGCCTTGACCCAAAGTGGGAAACTAATTTGAACAGTATGCAAGGCTACTGCCTGTCAGTGGGACAGTATTCATTACCACAATTAGACAAAGTTGATTTTACCTCTACCACACATCACAAAGGAATATTTAGGCCCTAGCGAAAACTTCCACCTCCAGTGATTTATTTTGAAAAGAATGTAGTTGGCTTGTTAGTATAATTGGAATAGAATGGATTCTCTACTGCAGCAATTGCATGTATGCATAGATCTACTTACAGCCATGTCAAACACACATCGAGCATCAGATATAGCATGAATGTACGTTTGCAGATCCTTGCAAGAGCCTGAAACATGAAATCTGAAAGAAATAAAAACACACTAAATACACTGAACCATGCAGCTTTCAGACCAAACAAACTGTTTCACCATATAAAAGAGCAACAGAAGCAATTCATCCTCAAGTGTCTCAAAACAAGCTTAAATGATAATACAGCAACTGTCCAAAGAATAAGCTCAGACAACCACTGTCTTCTATTTCATTGGATTTGTACTTGAGAACTGTCTTCCTCTTAATCCTAAGAATGTCCCAAAGTAATCTCATCTTTGAGAAACAACATTACTGAATTTTTTCTGTCTTCAATATCAAGGTGGATAAAAATTGTTCTTCAGTAGGTGACAAAGCTGCAGAGAAATACGGATGCCTGCCACAAGCTCCTGAATCCCCTCCTGTTCCTTGTTCAAAAGATTCAAGTACAGGCATATGCAGTTAAGTCACTGAGGTGCTAAAACTAGTGTCAGCATTCCCATGGGCTTCCTCAAGAGGAGTATGGTCTGCTGGTTTTAGACAGACCATACACACACCCATGCCACAGTGTTGTCCTTGGTAAACAGGAACTTTTGCAAGTGTTAGACAATGGGATCCTTCAAAAGAAGTAAAGAGTTTATATTGTTTTTCTCTATTGTTATTCTCCTTTAAAGAATGCCATTTTGAGGCAAAGGTCACTTTTCAAACTTCTGTGCATGAATCCACATGTGGATTTTAAAATTATTTAAATAAAAATAATGCACAAGAGCCATGTGATTTTTATAGAAGTTGGTTAAGACATTATACAAAGAGGAATGTTTTCTCAGTAGTATCTAATTTTTTAAGACATTTGCAGTTTATGCCTTAACATCCATTTCAAGCAGATATACATCAAAACATTTGTTGTTTAAATCATCAAAATCTGGCTCAACATTTTTTTACTGTCTTGATCACCCATTTATTTGTTTGGTTGCTTTCCTAAAACAGTCATGAGCATGTGATAGATTTGTAGCTGAAGGCAGACAGAGCAGACTTGTGCCTGCATTTTTCTCCCATATAGTAAAATATCCATTAAGCTTACAATTAAAGTATCACAGATCATTAGTCCAAACTAAGAACTCTAGGATTCATTCCTACTACTTGCAAGTCAAAAATGTATCTGAGTATTTTGTCTTGATATGATCAAAGAGTGACATACAACCTTAACTTTTACAAAATCTGACCCCCATATTCAACGTATTCAAACTATCCAACCTATTCCATATGCTGTACTAGCACTTCTGTTATGATGCTTACTGCTGGAAAAATACAAATTGAGTTACCACAGAAGTTCAAGAGTACAGTTAAAGAATAGGAGAGGCTTCAAAACTAAGTTTTCATGCTGACAGAAGGATTTATGATACTTAATTTCATATTGTTTTGATTGCTGTCATAGTTACTTTGTTTCTTACTAGTTTGGGCTTGCAAGCAAAAGCTCATGACTCTAAATTGATGTGATACTGTTTGTCTAGGGTTTTTGTTGATTTTTTTTTTATGCCTGCAAGATAGTGTCACTGGGGAAAAATCCTATTTTACATCTTAGGTACCTCATACAAATATCTGCTCAGCCAGCAGAGGACAATAAATTTACTCACTTGACACCAACTATTTGGACTCCCAGCTCCTTAGCACATTCCATGAGGTGCCTACAGTTCTTCAGGGTGGTGCCAAACTTCATATTCATCTCCTCACCAGCAGTAATATCTTCTGTGGCAATGTGCAGTAAGAGCCTAAGAGAAGGGGAAGATGATTGGGGCAGTTGGTTTACATCATCAGCACATGTGAAGCCTGAAGACTGTCAGAAGTGTGTTGATTAGGTTGTCAGTACTCCAGCTCCAACGATGGATGAATCAAGGTAACCTAATAATAACAATCCTGTACAGAGAAAAAACTAGCAATTAGGGGCTAAAACATGGAGCCAACAAGGACAAGGGATTTCAAAATGCAGCAACTAAGACTCTTGTAGCAGCAAGAGTCTGTTGAGTGCTGTAATAAAAAATAATGTTACCTTCTAATAAAGAGTAGTTTCCTCATAAAATCAGTAAGACTAATATGATTTTTCCCATCTCTGTCCTACTCCCCAGCCCAGAGGTTCCCCTTCAATCACATGTATCAGATTTAGTTAAACTTAGCATCTGGAGAACACCAGGCTGAAAGCACATCTGGGCATATCACATAACATCCCCTTCTGGCCAAGCACATGGACCCAGGATGAGGGGGTAGGGTGGTCAGTCCATTCCCTGCCCCTTCTTCCAGGACACTGCAGAGCAGGGAGGCAGCAAGTATTATCTCTTACATTCTTATGCAATGGGACATCTTCCTCTCTCTGGTCAAAGCCACATTTTGGGTAGGTCTGGCAAACTGCAGTGGCACTGCTGGCCTTTTTCTATGTTAAAGTAACACTTGAGGGGCAAAGGTACAGTGACATCCAAACCTCTAGAGACATACCCCCAAAACCTCCCAAATTCAAACTGCTGTCCACTGAGAAAGTCACACCCCCACAAGCGCAATTAATAAGTCATGCAGTAAACTAAACAAAGGTGGTATCATGACATACATGCAGATTGGACAGAACACATTGCAGTTAACCAGGGTGAGGAGTGTAAATGAGTAGAAAAAACTCATACCCAGAGTAAAATAGCTCTTTACAAGACAGGCAACAAACAGAACTCAGCCAGTTGGCCTAACATCTACCATGACTTCTACAAGTATTTTCCAAATGTTTCATGGTGTGTTTAAACCGAATTTTGTAAAGAGCAGAAAGTCCTAAGTTCTCACACAGGCTGCCCTGCAATCCTTGTTAATTTATACCACTTCATCTTGAGAAACAAGCATCTCATTTCCTGCTTCTCCACTAGCACAGAAATTTCTGTTCAAAAAATCTGTAGTCTGACAACATTTTGTGAAGCATTTGGAAGAACGTCCCGAGTGTAGCAAAAACTTATAACAAGTCAAACACTTTAAAATGCAATAGAAAAAATCAAATCCATACTCTGATTTGTAGGCTCATATTAAGATTAGTCAAAACCCTCCTTAAAGACATCCAATGTTAAATTTATTGTCCAATTGTTACAGTAGCATTAAGTGAGTCAAGATATTTTCAATCAAAACCCACTAAATCTGACTTCTAGGAATCTAGCAGGATTCTTCCTCCTGGGTTTCAGCCAGTCAAAGCAGGGCTAGAGGGTGATGTTGTGCTTACAGAGATTGGTTTTACATTTTATTGTTAAAGCAGCATTGATACTAACAACACCCTTGCCTCTACCTAAGTTCTTAGGACACCAAAAAGCTTAGCAGTTAAACTTTACTTGGAAAAATCTTAAAGATATAATAAAGAAAAGCAATACCTAAGCACTCCTTCCTGGCATTTTTGATCTTAAAAAAAATTGCAATTATTTGAGTTGATAACAAAAACATCAGTTACAAAAAGAGACACTTCCACCCATTACTGAGTTTAGTGCAATAAATTTTTTAGCTACACATTTCCAGAAAATTAGAAGAATCATATCTTCCTAAATGATTTTTTCAGCCAAAACACACTGGTTTCACCCACGTGAACAACCCAGCTCTAGCAAAGCACACATAAGGAAAACAAGGCGATATATATAGTGGCTTTGACTTTTTCAAATTATGCCAAGGAAGAGAAAAGAAAAAAAAAATCTGTCACTTGAGCATCAACATTAAAATGACCTGAATAAGATAATTCTAATAAAATGAGGAAAAATATTCTATCCAATAAGAGAGACCATATATCTAAAAAATTTAGACATCAAATTGCAGTTCTTTGGTAGAAATTGAGTTTCTTGCCCTTGGTAAACAGGAACTTTTGCAAGTATTAGACAATGGGATCCTTCAAAAGAAGTAAAGAGTTTATATTGTTTTTCTCTAGCTCATGATACTCCTTCATCCTTTCTCCTTGATTTACAATTTCTCTGGCCCAAGAAAAATCTGCAACCTAACTTCTCTTGCTGTGGATGTTTTCACAGACAGTATCTTCTTTAAAGAGGTTGTTAGAATAATGGAAATAAATCAACATAAAAGCTAACAAAACTCTGAAGCTACTAGTGAATAACAGGTAAAACACTAATGATTTACCAGGCAGCTTTAGCACTGCCAAGGCTTTCAAATCCACAGGGCTAGCAGTTTCAGAAAAATTTATCATACATCACATTTTTGCACAGAAATTTGTCTCCAGTATGCAAACCACAGACTTGCATGAGGATGAAGTGCAATCACTAGGAACAACAATATTAAATCTTGTAGACTTGAACAAACAGAAAAACTATCTCAAATAAATACCACCACCCCCCAAAAAACAAACCACCCAAATGAAAAAAAACCCAGTTTTGGACAAAGACAAAATACTTTAATCATGACTGTTCAGAACCAAGGAATTTGTAAAGGATATCAGGAATTTGGTTTCTCCAATGACATTTATGGAAAGCTATACCTTGAATCACTGCATAGCACTGTAACATTCACTTAAGCTCTGACTCTGTATTTCTTACAGGCATGGCCCAAAGCTAAAGCATTCACATGTGAGGGATGTGATGTTAAATGACATGAGTGCCTATCAGGCTCCAAGAGACCATTATACATTGGCATCAATAAATTTGCCATGAATAACAGTCACATTATCAGCTCTGATCACTTTTCTACAGAAAGCAGCTGAGCTAATAATAAAGTGATTGAAAATAGGAGTCAAATTTCTCACTGTTTAAATCCTGTGGAAATACCTGTAGGGGTATTTACTAGACCTGCAGAGTGTGCCCAAACCCCAGATAGGATCCAATGCACAGGGTCATTTGTTGGTAGCTCAGCCCCAATTTCAGCCAGAGCCACTAATATCTGAACAAAACTCCCTGAAAGATAACACTGAAACCAAAACAGAGCAGGAGGAAGATGTATTCGCAAATGATGAAATGCCAGACTTCTGAACTTCAATCACTGAAACCTTTACATGAAGATTGCCTTAAAAAAAAAAAAAACACTTTCTCCCAAGATTTCTCCCAAATCAAGGGCCACTGTATTAGGAAGCCATCAGTAGGAAAAGATGCAAAACAGCTGCTTTCAAAGGAGACCGAAGAACAGATACAAGTGATTTGTACTAAAGAAGCCATGTACTTTGCTTGCAACTCAAACCACCCAGAACACAGGCAAACTAAGTTTCCTCCACATTAAAAGCAAAATCAGAATTTTGACGCTTACTTGGCATTTGGATGGTTACGTGAAATTTTCTTCAGCTCAATATCATTATCACAAGTCATGATGTTTATCCCAGCTTTTGCTGCATACTTGATCTGAGAGGCTTGCTTGCAAGGATTTGTGTATATGATGTTCTCAGGAGAAATGCCCAGGTCTTGCACCAATGCCATTTCAGACTGAAAAACAGGACCATACCAGAGTTTGACAAAGTGCACTGAATTTTTATTAGGTGTGCTCTACTACCACACTAAAGAGAAAACTATCTACTGCTTCTAGGACAGAAGTACAGATTTTCAACAGCCAGTTACAAATGAGTTCACAGTTCAAATTTTATTTATAATTATGGCACTTAACACCAAAGAGATGAATTTAAACCAGCAGACATATGAAAAAATAAGGCACACAGGCAAGAAAAACTTACTTTACTGGAACATGCAAAACCAACACCAAGGGTTCCCAGAATTTCGAGTACACCTGGAGTAGAATTGCATTTTACGGGATAAAATGGCTTTATGGGTGCCATCACATTCTGCCATTGTATGTTATTCCTTACAAGCTTTCCAAGGTCACCAACATAAAATGCCTTTTTTCCAGCCTGTAAAAGGAAGAATAGGAAAATAAAATGTCTGAAATTGTAGGTTTGCTGTCAAAAAAAACAGCCCAAAGTCTTAGAGAATTATGTACCGTTTTTTTCACCCTGCTCTTAACTTTTAGACTTGACCTTGAACAATGTATTTCTGTTCACCTGGCAATTTGAACTAGTTTAAAAAAAATCAAAGGGAATACCTACCACTTCAGAGATACTATAAATGCTATAGACAATATTCTGTGATTCCTGAATAAAAGACTCTACTTAAATGCCTAATGCTGATCTTAGCCAAAAATCCAGTTTAAGTATACATTTCTTGCAACTTTTTATTTTCAGAAGTCTGCAGCTATTTATAGGAAGAAAATCCACTGGGATGAAAGCTTCCACAGTCTCAATGTAATTTATATCTCCTTGTAGAAGGAATAAAATCTGATGCACTAACGTTATTTTAACATCCAGCTAATAGCTTGTTTTACTGAAATTTCTCTATTTTAGTTCAGGAAGTCAATTTTGAGACTGTTCTCCACATCTTGTGAAGAATTAAGTTTAAAAGGTATTTTAAGAACTAGACTCCACATTAAAGGTGACAGAATCAAGTACGTAATCTTTAAGAAAATGCACAGACTTCTCTGAAACTGTTAAGTTCCTTTTGCACATCTGTTACAACACAGGCTTTCTCAATATCAGGTCATGATGTAGGTGTAGTGGATTGAAATGCAAACAGATCATTCCAGATTTGTTCATAATGTGCACTCAGAAAAACTACTCTAAGTAAATGACCTACATAAATCAATTAAAGACCATCACAAAAGATACGAAGGATCTGAATCGAGACTGTACATCAAATGTTAATTCCAGCACTTGACTTTCACAGATATGAAACTCTATATGTTGTGGATTATTTATACAAAGTCTTTATTTCTGTTTAAAAAACACAAATAGAAATTCCATCGGGTGGAAGCATACTGACCCCCTGTACGGGTCACCAGCAGGAATGGGATCTGGAGCTTTAGATCCATGGCACAGGCCTCTACCCCTTGAGCTAAAGGAGTAAATGAAAGCAGCAGGAGGCAGCTATCCTCTGTGAGCCAGCCAGTGGTTGGAGACATGACATGTTGCCAGTAGTTTACCTATTTATTTGCTAGACAGAAAAAGAATATTAGGAATCAGGATTTGGGAATCCTACACCTGAGTTCAGAAGGCCTTGGAATTTAGCTATTGCTGTACCAAAGTTGACCACTTGCACATGAATATTAGCTCTGATTAATCAAGGGAAAAGTGAGCAACTCACAGGTATGGCATATGAAGAACACAAGATCTGCTTAATGAATTTTTTTTAAAGTTTGCTCTTACTACAACTTTGTCTACAGAACAAAAGCTACATCTTCCTGCCTCCTCCTAAGAAATGAGTGAAGCCTTATTAAAAAATTACTATTGTATACACAGAATTATTCAAGTTTCTTTCCAGCTGGCTGCTAAACTTCAGTAGCTTTTACACCAGTTTGCCTTGAAAGATAGCACCTCACAATGTGCTTGTACCAGTTTCCAGTGGGGAGAAGGGCTACAGGAAGATGTATAAATATAAACCATGATAGCCCACAAAAAAATTAAACATGGCTTTAAACTGGCTGAGCATCCACATTTGTCAGAACTCTGCCACATTCTCAGGGAAAGAACAACAAGAAGGTTCTAACTGAATATACCCACTTGCACAATTTCAGGTGCTTGATCTAAACTCCATTGATAATAAAATCTCTTGAAACAATGAGATGGGAATCTGTATTTAATTACATCAGCCAGACTACTTTCCTGCTAGCCATACTCAGGGAGGTAAGAGTTGATGCCCAAATTTTCCCAAGAGAATTCTACCCAAAACAAGAAAACAGCAAAGAAGCAGAATTAGAAGAGGAAACTACTTTATAAGCTGAGTGAGGCTTAGCTGACTGCTCCACTGCTGCTGTCAGCTCATCAGTTCTAAAATACTTTGACCTAGTTTGAACACTTAGGGAACTAAATCAAAAGATCTGGAAAGCAAACTTACATGAGTATGTTCGTAAATACAGTTGTCAATAACATCTGCAAGAGTTGCTCCTTCATCCAACAGACCAATGGAATAATTTGCATCCTCAAGAAATCCTTTCATCTCAGCCGTATTCCACAAAGCCGACAGTCATAAACCAAGAAACACAAGGGATGGGCTTCCAAGCCTTATATCCGGGTCCTTAAATTATGCAACAAACTGTACAAAGAAAATATGTGTCAAAGGAAAAAGAGGCACAAAGCATACTATGCTGCTGTTTAAAAATCAGCTTTCTACACCTGATGTCCTACAAACAGTAACACACCCCCTACAAAAGCAGAAGATGTTTTTACCTGCTCACCCTACACTTGTCAGAGATATGGATATGGATAGAACAATTCTACTGAAGCCAAGAATAAAACAGAAGCTGGGTACTTTAAATCTGATACTTCCAGAAACAACTGATGCAAGGCTGCTCTTGAGAAGAATTCCAGACTGTATGCACACTGATCTGCACTGAGTTTATGCAAACTATGAAAATACTGCAAGTGCAGCATAATTGTACAAATTCCTCGGCTCCGTTCTTCTCAAGAACAGCATCTTTAGCAATGCCAGCATTCAAATGTGCAAATGGAAGACTGCCTGTAATAGAACATTTCAGAATGTTTTAAAAAACTTGTAGATTATTGATTAAATTGATATTTGTGTTAACATTCTAGTTTTTTTGATGCTAATTTATCGCCACTGCATTTACACATTGTATTTATTAGACATTTATTTTGTTATTCTGCTCATAACATTACCTGCAACACTTCAAAATGTTAATTGCAATAGAGGTTAACAAAAAGAAGCCATTAGGCTAGACATAATTTTAAAATAAGTGATAAAGGTAGTATGTAGAATTGTTATTAAAATAAAGTAACAGTTACAGTCCAACCTTATTTGCATCTTTCTTATCCTCAGATCTTCACTGCAAATTAGCTTAGTAGGTAGTAGTTTATACAGTATTTTCCAAAAGACAACCTGAATCACCACAGTCCAAACACTGAAAACACTGTTAAATATAATCTTAGAATGCAGATTAACTATTTAATCACAAGTAAAAATCAGCAGAAAATTGCTAACAGCTGACTATATACCTTCATTTGCTTTACTTGATGAATAGAACAATCTGCAGCTTACATTCCATTAGAGTTGTGGCTGTTGTTTAAAAACATCCTATTAGCTTACGTCAACCCACTGACCACGTTTTTATTTCAACTGTCATCTTTATGACTAACACAAGATGGATCAAAACCAGCTAGCTAACTAGACTCCTTCTCTAAATGAAGACCTAACTTTTTTAATCTCTCAACAGAAGTTGTAAAAAAAGTGATAGTTATTCTCTAAAACCACCTGCACTTAAGATTTACAATAGCAGAATTATTTTTCTAATTAAAAGTATTTATAGAAACCACAAACATTACAGATGAAAGCCAAAAATACTTCATTAGGACTATAAAAGGTAAGAATTTTGGCTTCAAATAATCACAGGGCCATGGTATTAACTGTCTCATGTTACATCTATCACCTCCATAGAGTAAAAAAAAAAAAAATTACACTATTTGCAACATAGGTTTGGTTAATGTTGTCAACAATATGAACAAAGTTACTTTGCTGTAGTTTAATATTACCACAACTAAGCAGCAGTTGCTGCTGCTTGTCATTATGCCAAATAATGGGAAAGGAGCCAACAGGGTTTTTTATATGCTTTCTGCACAACTCAAACATGCCCCCTATGTTTGTTACAAGAGGAATTTACTGCCAGGTGAACTAACTCAGTGGCAGCAAGAACATTCAGTTCTATTCAGAAGCTGAATGATAAAGACAAGTACACTGGGTAAGAAATACCTGTCTCTCGCATATACAGTGAGTCCTATGATTATTTAAGGGATTCCTGAGGATCCAAAATAATCACAGAAGAGCAAGATAATGATCACATTGATCTAAAGATTTAATTAGTTATAAAAACAATGACTAGGGGGTAGACTATAATAACCAGAAGTCCTTAGTCTTAACTCAGTATGGGACTAACAGCTAAAACTCCTTAAAAAAATACCACCAGTGAACAAAAGAAGCTCGTGAACTAAGTTTGCCTTAGAATCAGTCCGACTAGCATGAACACCACAGTCATCTTCGTAAAATATCCATGGTTTTCAGACGCAGAGGACCAAAAAGGTTGAGTTAACTTTTCCCCCAGAAAGAAATGCTGGCATGAGCATTTTGCTGGATTTTTTTTAAGGAATTACTGTATATACAAGGGTACTACTTAGCTAGATTTTAAAATTTTGGTTGAGATTTTTTTCATGCTAGAAGCCACTTCCTATACTCTAAAGCATGCAGACGGTCAAGAGTCCCTTCCACCCCAGATCTACCCTTCTGGAAAGTCTCAGCACACCCACTAGAACCAGTCACAGCCCTATACAGATTTTCAGACTCACCAGACACACACAGCTTAATTGCTTGTACCTTGTACTTCAAATGAAGCACCTCAATCAAACCAACTGCACACTTCTCTTTGAGTGTGGGTGTTCATCTGAGTTACAGTTGAGTAGATTTAAACTAGTTGTTTAGTACTCTTAAAAGAAAGGCTTTTTTTCCTAATTACTGTGGTGTCTGTAGCTTTCAGACAGATGGTATAGAAGAATAGTTTTCTTCAAAAGCTGCCCTTTTAATTCTGGGGAGACTTTGTTCAAGCAAAGCATAGGAGGAGGACTCTTTACCACCAATTCCCCAAAGCCACCACCATCAAAAAGAACAATTATCTAGTAAGTTCATTTTGATGAAGATTATTTCCTAAGACTCATCTGCTCATTCATCAAAAGGCATCTTATGGTCAAAAGGCAGGGACCAAAAGGAATATGTGCTACTACAGATTCAATGACAAATTTGCAACAAACCATAAACAACCTGATATAACCTCTCCCAGGCTGCTAAACAGTGATTGCTTTTTCTAAGTACATGCCAGACATGGAAGATTTTCCATTTAACATAAATTGTTGTGTAGAAAAAAACCAAAACTAACATTTGCTTGACTACAGTCCAATTTCCCCTTTTCTGAATAAATTACATCTCCTCAGTCTTGATAGAAAGAATATTCTACAAAGAAAAAACAAATTCCTAGAAGCACTGCTAAAGCACCACTACAAGGTAGTGGCTAGAGAAACATTTCTTTAAGGGGTCAATACCTTACAGTGGGACTTGTGACTGCTGTCACCTTCTGTCCTGACTGGTTCCCTCCTGAGGGGGGAGGAGAATCACTGATAACATTTGCAGAAGGAAATCTAAAGGATGGTTTAGGACTTTTAATGTCTGTAAGATGAGTCAGAAATCATTGGAGTACAGAGTTCACTCCTTGCTGGAAATGCTGACTTGCTGCAAGTCATTATTTGACAGACTTGGTGCAGTAACACCACCCATTTTCGCACCTGAAATGTTTGTCTGCACAATGCTCCAGGACATATTATTTTAAGTCAAACAAAAGCTGTCAAGTGGTATGAGACTTCTACATAGGCATGTAATTGCTTTCTTTGAAGTAAGCGTTACATCCTCAGGCTTTTTACCGTTCAACACAATGACTTCCCAGATGAAGAACTCTAAGATAAGTGTACATATTTAAATACTGCAATTACTGCAGACATCTGGAATAAAAGAAAATTAAAATTCTCTGAACAGAGTCTAAACACAGATTTGTCACATGTAAGCATCCATAACATGCAATTTTCATTTTTGTTTTCACGTTGTCCAAACTATTATCATTTGGTCAAAGAAAAGTACTTAAAAAAATGCCAAACATCTGTAGGTTTGCTTCTCTCATTAAAAGCTTCCTCTGCAAAAAAAGTCTCTGCAAACCAAACAGGCTCCAAATAATGTCTTTCAACCATATCTTATTAAACAGAAGTATTTATGACATAACACTAATGCAAAAAACAAAGGGCTAAAACCACATTATTCTCTCATTCCTTTGCAATACTGGGGTATCTTCAGGGGTAACAAATTAAAAAAAACATTGTCAGTAACACTGGCAATTCAGAACAGAACAGGTATACTAGAAAATACAGTCCTCTGTTTTCAGTAAAGGAAATACCTATTTATAATTTAAATTAAATTATAATTTTAAATTATAATCTATAAATATTTAATTTAGATATATTTAAATACTTAATGTATAGATATTATAATAGTATATATAAAACATTTGATTTATAAAACAATTTTAATATATTAAATTTATAATATTTCTAATGGCAGTATCTTAAAAAAAATATTCCAATATGCTACTTCACCAAGTTGCATCACTGTAATTCAGTTAGCTGAATGCAGCCACTAACCAGGGGATGGAAATGCTGAAACAGGTGTCTTTTTTTGTATTACTCAAGTTATTGCTCAGGACAAATCCACTGAGGGTCATAGTACACCTTAGGTGAGTTGCATCCTACTCTACTCTCTCAGCAACAGTCTACACAGTGAAGTGAGCAATGTACAAAGAACAATTCTGCTGAAGCAAAGGGGGAAAGCGAAGGTTTTTCCATTGATACTGGAAAAACAGTGTCTCATCCAGCATCCTCTACAGGAACAAGAACCTCCTTCTGTGCTCTTGAAGTTTAAATATATTATTCAGACCCAATAAGCTCACAAAGCTTGCAAAAGAATGATTACTCTTCTAAGTGCACATATACTTTGTGGAACCAGACCAGCACTTCTGTTTTATAACAGTGAAGTCACTTCCTTATCCTACCTTCTTATTTGCTCAGTCAGTGTCAGTATTTGGCCTCCCCACTGCCCCGTAAGACTCCCAACTCCCAGCCCTCCTGCTCCCCCAACTGTCACCAGCTCCATTTACACAAAGAGCTTCCAAAGTTCACCAGCCCAGACAGCTACTGCTTCCACTTGGCATAGAGAAGGCTTGCTAGTACATCAGACTTCCATTGCTAATTCCCAGCATTTCTGCTCAACCAGATGTGGCAATACACCAAAGTGAATTTAGAAGAGCAAGACTTCAGGCCATGGTTGCTGGACTTCTCAGGGAGTGAGAGCTTGAAGAACAGACAGAACTAAACCCCAAGTCTTTCCCTGGCCAGTGTAACACAAGGAAAAAGTGAGATGGAGAAAATCATAAAAAGGAAGCGAGTTTAATGGAAATATAAGTACACCTTCAGACAGAAGATTTTTATTTTAGCTCCACGGGAACATTAACACATGACATTACAGTTATATTTAAAAGCTCACTTGACCTTTTTCCCATTAAATCACTTTGCAAGTTGAACAAGACTCAAAGTACCAATTAGCTCTCTAACTTACGTCTTAGCTGCATTTGAGGCAATGACCTGTGCTTCAGCACACCAAAACAGGTACAGATTTCCTGGCAAACAGTACTGCTGCCTACATCTAGCACTGCTTTCAATACTGAATTACTTCTATTGTGCACAGTACGTTATTGCTGAACACGTAATAGATCCAACCTCAAAATAAACACACATTATCTGAACATTCAGTTGCAAATAAAGCAAATCCAGTGGCATTTCCATTCTAGGGCAATCTATACCTTGCATCATTTGTCACAGCACAGGAGCCTACCAGTTAGAGAAAGAGTATCTCAAAGAAGGTACCAGAATAGCCTTCACCTCAAGAGTAAGGCCGTCTGTCACAGCCAAAATTCTCTTCAGAACAGTTTTAGAAATTAAGATGCATGTGTAGTACCTTAAGATTGTATACTTCTTAATTGTTTATTCACTTCTTTCTAACACATCTTCTGCCTTTCCTACCTTTTTATTACTTTATTCCTGTTCAAGTGCAAAATGTCATGCAGAAGTTCTAGCCACATACAAGAGTGAATCAGAACTTGAACTGAACAGGAGAAGCAATTTTCTCAGCTATTTTGCTTATAAAAAACACACCTAAAACATAACAGTGATATTCAGAAAATTCTCAGTGCTAGCTGAATTCACTTGAATAGAGTATTCAACTACAAAGAACCAGATATAATATATGCACTTAATTCAGTAAGTTTCAAACAAAACAAAGAACATAACCTCTGGAGATAAAGCCAGAAGTCAAATAGAAGATAAACCAAGCTCATCCTGTGCCTCAGCAACTGTGGTATTTTCAAAGAACAAGTTTATCTACATTAAGTACCTTATTAGGAGGCATACTAACACAACTGGCATTTAGAATCTTTGTGGTCTTTAAAAAGTACCTGGCTCAGTAAGATATACTTTACCATTTGTAAGTTCTACATTAAAAAGCATTATATAATTTATAGGTACTAAGCCAAACAAAAACGCCTTCAGCTAGACAGGAAAAATAATACTGTACAAATACTGTGTAAAGTCAGCTTAAATGCATTTGTAATATCTGACTTAAGACCATTGTTAAAAACCACATAAAACTATTTTAAGTTAGCAGAACATGATAACCACACACATTTCATATGTCTTCTGTGCTCCTTAAGATCAGCTAAGTGCATTCATTTGTTTCCCATTATCATGGTCTTTTTTTCCTTCAATAACTATTTGCCACTTCAAAATATAAAGGCATTTATAACTGGCACACATTTTCCATCCAACACTAAATTCCACATTCTACTGTAACTCCACTACAACTATTTGTGGAAGTGGATAGTAATTAGCAAATAATGGAGACAGGCATTTGGGAAGGCACACCCTTCATGATCAGCATTAGTTACTGTTTACAATAGCAAATTTTAACTATTTCAGTATAAACTACTCTAAGAAACTATACAGTACTCAGCAAGTCATGAGTTCATGTTAACAGTCATGCAGTCCAATTCATTACTTCAGAATTATCACTGAGAGACTGAAGTAACAGCATTTTATTTCAGGATTTCTGCAGCCAACACCCTAATTCAGAAAAGTAGCTCTATTTACCAAGTTTACTGCCGAACTTCATCAGATAATTGTACTGAGAAAGGTGTCAGGCAAGTAAAAATTTTAGTTCCCCCACCATCCTGAATCAAAGTCCTATGTAATTTAATCTACATCCTATGTAATATGCATGACACATTACATGTGACATAAGTCATACTACATGATTAAGTCCTGTGTAATAATCTACATCCAGACAGTTATCTTGCTTACCAGAAAAAAACAATACAAGCTGTATTTTTGCAAGTGCTTATCCTCCTGCCTACGGATAAAGAGACACTTACATGGACAAGTTAGGAGATGGAACCCTACTATCATCAGCTAGGTTCCCAAGGTGGCTCAGCGTTGAAGTCGAACTGCTCTCTATAAAGCACTTCTCCTAAGCCCTCTGGATAGTTGTAAACTTGATCAGAGATTTTGCCCTGTAGAGAGAAAAATGCACACAAAATAAATTTCATAGCCAGAACAGAATAAAAGCTTTATCATAAAACATGTAACAAATGCCTTTTCAGTAGTGCTTTTAAGGAGGCTTGCAACACCCCACCACAAAAGTTTATAATCACATGAAGCACACAGTTTTCAGGAGTTTATATAAACTCTGAGCCAGAATAAGTCAGATATACAAAGAACTGCTAAAACATGTGAAACTGCTTGTACTTACCTTCCACAGTCTGAAAGGGAAAACTTAAAACTAATGGCAAAGAGCTCTACATGATCCTGCTGTAGGGTAGTATGCCTTAATACTGGACTACTCTCCCAGAAGTGTTTTTAACCCTGTAACCACTGCATTCTTCCCCTCCCCACTTCCCTTCTATTTTAGAATTCCCTCGCCACGTTCCTTCTCCCTCTGCTGTGAATGAACACGGCATGTGGGTGAAAAAGCTATGTGGGTGAAAAATAGTGCTTTATATAGTGAAACTGAACACCACACAGACAAATCCAGAAATGAGCAAGACAGGAAAAACAAAGAAACTTATGCTTGCCTTCAGGAATGAGGAAACATTTCAGCTGGCCCTTAAAGGCTATTACACACATCACCAAAGCAGCATTTTAAAGTACAAGGCTAGCTTATTCAAGGTAAAGCAATCACACAAACCAGTACAATGAACATAAGAGCAGTCAAGGAAACATTTATTAGCCCTGTTGAGAAGTTATTCCTCCAAAAAGCAACAGTAATTCTCATGGAATTAAATGCACTACCAAACTGGTCACGTGTAAACCCAACATAAAACAAAGTTTCTAAAAATTCACTGTGATATATGGCATGAAACATAGAATGTACCAACCTACTGTAAAAATAAACCTTTGCTACTTTCTTTATTACGTAATAATACATGGGCTGACTACAAAAGCCTGATTTCTGGGAATCACCCTACACAAAAGATCTTCACAGCCATGTTAGTTAAACCCCTGAAACGTACTTTTCCACTTATTCTTGCTATTGGAAAACTAACCTAGTACACTCTATGAAGTACTGCATAACGCACAGAGGTAGTGCAACTTGAGGGTAAGTGTTTCACAGCAACTCCCACACAGCAATCCCTGCAGCTTTACCACATAAATTAGCATTTACTAGCATGCAACATTAAAAACAAACCTCAATGCTTCAAATTTGAGATATAACAGAATTTTGCCAGCTAGAATTAATGTGTATGTATTAAATTTAACCTTATCCTTTTCTTTTACTGAAGCAAGAAGTCAGTAACATTTAGCTCTGCGCACAACAGTTTTACAAAAAGGTGCTGCCAATGTTTAAAATTAACTAGTAGTTACACTACTTCCTACTGCTGTTCTGATTACACTCAAGAATTCATACAAATTTTCCAGTGATAGGAATTAAGTTTACCTTCCTAGCCAAACAAGTCATTAAACACAAGTGCTTCCAGGGAGAGCACACGACCTTCAGTGCAACACTTAAAACACAGTGCTTTAGCCAAATGCCACCTGCAGTATCATACCAATAAATATTCTCACATGTCCCAAGGAGGAAAGTTTACAATGAAAGTTCCTGTGGAGCAGGAATGAAACCCAACAATTTTCTGTAGCAACAACTTTGAGCTGCGCAAGTTCTGTCTTTCAGAACTTTTTTAAAATGAGATTTATCTAAAGGATCTACACAAATATATACAAAATAGTCTGACTGCTCTCTTTTGTGCAGCTTTGCCACTCCCAAACATTCAGAGGAAAATGGTACAATTTGAGCCTTTCCAATCACATTCATTTTAGTCTGCTTTAAGCAGCAGAAAGAGGTATTTTGATGTAGAGGAAGAGCTGGGCTACCATTTTAAGTAGAAGTGTATTAGATGTCCATAACCCATAAGGGCAAACCCGGTTTTACAAAAACTGTGTATGTTATCAACCACAATGAAGCATTCATTGTTTAAGGGTTTTAAAGTAGGTATAAAAGTATTCTTTGCTAAGCAGTGAGCTCTGAGTTGTGGGAATAGTCAGCAAGGTAGCACTGCCTTTTAATGTTCAAATGACACCTATATGCATGTATTTATCTATCATCTGTTGGTATACTCTACTAGCAGGTTCCTTAAGTTTGACCACAGCTCAAGGAACAGTCACAACTCACCTGAGGACCCAAATCACCCCTCAGTTGTCCACAGAACATAGTTTTGTCAGAACACCTGCATCCCTGCAGCAAGCCCTACAAGTGCCCAGCAGGGCTGGGCTTTTTCCAGTTCACTGGCCCCCTTCAACTCTTCATGTGTGATGCCAACAGGCCTACAAAATTTATCAGGTATCAATTTATTTTCTTAAAAAAAAAAAATCCACTGCATCTGTTTCTGAGAAGAGACCCTGTAATGGCTTAAGCTAAAATATCCATTAACCAAACCCTAAAATTCTAGAATTACAATGACCTTGCACATTCACACTGAGTGACAGACTCAAAGGCACCAAAGTCACTCTGGTTCACAGAAAAACCTAGGTATTTTTGAGATACATTAAACCTCCCACAGATCAGGGAGAAGACACTGTAGCAAGGAGATGCCCAAGGGGGATAGCAGGTCCTGAAGGAAGCACAGGTCCCTGAGGAGCTCTCCCATGAACTACACTCTTGTTCCTGTGCTACAGCAACAGTATTTGGAGCTGAAATTTACCATTATACCCAAATTAGCGCACTACTCGATTAAGCCTTGCTCTCAGGAAAGGACAGTCTTAATTCTCTTCCAGAGCACTCTGTCTCCCCTTTGAGAGATGGAATCATTTCCAGTAGCACTGCTGCAATCACACACCTGCAGCAGCCATCCAGGGAGCAGTGAGAGGCACAGGCTGCAGGTTCAGGGGTGGGCTGCAGTGCTGAAAGGCAGTAATCCTGCCTCTTGCCTCCAGTAAAACTGTGTCCACAGGAGAAACATTCCCACAGCTGTTCACCACCCAACAACACCCTCCCCCCTCCCAAAGACCCTCCTTTTTCTGCGTTTAACAGCCTTCCCCTGGAGCTCAATGCCCAGCAGGAGGGATGGGGGAGAGCAGGCCGCCCGGCTGCCTGCCGGGGGTTTTGGCCTACAGGAGGCAGAGCAGGGAGCTCACCACAGCCAGAGGCACACGGGGAAGGGGCTGCCTTGTCACAGGCATCAGCCACAGCAGCAGCAGCATTGTTCACACAGTGACAGGAAGGAAAGAACTAGACTGGACCAGTCCAGACTGGAACTAACCCCTCCTACCATCACCATTATTCACAACCCCCACCTCCCCCCAGCACCACTGCCTCCCACGTTTATCCAAGGAAGAATAGTGGGCAAGTGCAGTGTCTTCAGAGATTAAAATCCAGCAGCCAGGGAGGGCAGAAGTGGGGCAGGACTACCCCCAACCCACTCGTACACAAGAGACTCAATGCCACATCTGACTAGATGGTAGGCAGATCTACGCGGTTTTATTGGACTTCACACTTGGACTTGTTTTCATTCAAGGCGGCTGTTACTGACTGCAACTACACAACTGCACCCTGGTTAGCCACCGGAGACTGCTGCAGAGGTCTGAAACGCAGTGCTCCTCCTGCCTGCAGGCACAAGGCAGCTGTGCAGGATTTTGTACTGCAGGAGATGCACTTCAGATAGGCTCAAAAGGTTTAAGCTCACTTTCTTCCCTCTTCACCACAACCAGGTAACCCCCAGCACACACAAACATCACCATGGGCTCAGACTCATGACTGGAAAAGACCTGCAGTGCTGTCTAGTACCCAGCCATAACAGCATCCTCTTTAGCTTCACCACAATCCTGCACTTGCACCGTCCCACTTATGCATGCATGAGCCCACTTGCTCACCGTGCCTTCAGCTCCCTTACCACCAGGAACAGACAGACACCTCTACTGATCTCCACCACTCCAGTCTGCTGACCTGCTACCGAGCAGGGAACAACGGCACTGCAGCCAACACACACACACACTCCGGATACCCCAGCATTCAGGGGCACGCACTTTACACACACGAATTCAGCTAGCAGCTGAGCAGGAACCAGACTCTCTCCTCCATACTTTCCAAAAGCCACCAGTACACCAGGGGTCAAATGGACCACAATACGTAGGCAGAGGCAGCCAAGCCAGGAAGGTTGAGCTCAACCAAGATACCTCCAAAAGGACCGGCAGCAGCAAACCTGCGACTGCTACACTAAGGGTCTGAGCAAGGGGAGAGAGAAAGGGTGCACCCGTGAGATAACCAGGGAGCTACTCCCCGGGCAAAGGGAGGGGACTGCTAACGGGAGGGAAGGGCTCCCCACTTCCACATGCCGGGTGACTCCACGGCCCTTCGGCGTGAAGGCAGTCCCGGAAAGCGTTACTTGTGCAATACCCTTACAACTCATGCGTTGCTCTGACAGCTGGCGCTGCCACCCTGCTCCTCGGTGCGGCCCTTGTTCACCATGCCGAGGGGGACAGGTGAGGAGGCCTCGTGCAAGCGCAGCTCAGGTGAGGGGAAAACTGGAGCACGGCAGCGGGAGCCCGGATGGATAATCACGCTCACAGAAGCACAACATGGCCCCTGAGAAGCAAGCGAGGAGACGCCGCGGCCATGCCACCAGCACTTCTCCAGCCTCTGCCCCCGTCAGGCTGCCCAGCGCCGAAGCCTGTCACACACGGCTACCTCCGGGGGCTCGGGGGAGCTAACAGCGTGTGGGTCACACCTGGAAAGGGACTCTGCAGCACCGGCACCGCAGCCGGCGCTCCCAGCCCAGGCAGCTGCAACAGGGCACGGGGCAGCCCCTCTCCCTGTGGGATCCAGGCAAGGACGCCCCTCGCTCCCAGGCAGGGGCGCCCTGCGAGGGGCGGCAGCGCCCGCCCGGTGGGCGCAGGTCTCCAGCCGCGGGCACTGCCCCGGCTGTGAGGGGGAAGACACCGTACAGCCCCCCTCCGCAGGAATCCGCCATGTTAGGGCGGCCGCCGAGCCCCCGCTGCCCGCAGAGCCGGCGGCCCCGCCGCCCTTTCGCGTCCCGGGGACTGCGGGAAAAGGGGACCGGCGGCACCGCCGCAGCGTTCACCCCGGTGCCCGGCCTCTGCTCCCGCCCCGTCACCGCTCGCACGCAGCGCTGTCCGCCATATTAGCGCGGCGGCCGTTGACCCTCCGCCCGCCGCCGCCGCCACCCTCCCGGTGTGTGGGTCCCGCTGCCCGCCCGCTCGGGCCCCGCACTGCGGCCCCGCACCGCCCGGCACGCCGGGGGACAGGGGGAGCTCCAGCTCTGACTCATTCCGCCGCTCTCCATCTGCCGGCGCCAGTGGCGGCCGGTCTCGCCCCACGCCGCCGGGCGAAGAAAGGGCAGCGGGAGGAACCGGCTCCATCCCCAAACCTCCCCGGCAGCCACCGCCACGGTACTGCCCGCCGGGTGCCCCTCCATCCTTTCCGGGCATCAGGACCACCGCTCCCCGTCCCTCCCTGCACTGCTCCGAGCCCCAGGCCCCGGGCAGGGGGAAGCCCCTATCGCTCCCGCCCGCCGCCTGTGACCACGGACGCTCCGGGCCCGTTCGGAGCTTGGGGTGGGCGTCGCCACCACTTCACTCCCTCCCTCCCGCCAACTCCCCCACGGGCGGCGAGAGCCCCAGGACCCCCGCTAAGGTACTCACGTGAGATAACGGCCCGAAAGATTTGGTAAATCGTCTTCTCTTTTTAGGCGGAATTTTTAAAGAGGGATGTGGGAACCTACAGCAGAAATACAGGCGGCGGCAGCGGCGCCTTCCAGGGCCATAGGCTGCGGGGGCGGCCGGCGGGGAAAGCGCAGCGCAGCGCTGGGAACAGAGGGCACAGGCAGAGAGAGACAGAGCCGGAGCGGGCCGGGGGCTGCGGCAGCAGCGGGCGGAGGAGGGAGCGTGGCCGGTGAGCTGCGAGCTAGCGAAGACACGGAGAGAGAAGAAGGGGCTGTCGCCTGCAGGGCTTTTATAGGGCGGGCGGACTGGAGGGGCGGGACCCGGGCTGGCGTCACCGCTCCGGGGGCGGGACCCGCCGCCTTCCCCCGCCGCGGCGGCCGGAGCGCGCTGGGCCGGGGGAGCGAGGCGTGTGTCCCCGGCGGGCCCCTCGCTCTGGCTGGCACCGAGGGTGCTCCTGGAGCGATCAGGTCTTTGGTTATTTTCTGACACAAGTCAGGGCAGGGACACCGTCAGAATTCCCTCGGGATACCGGGCAGGTGGTTACCATACTTGTCTTCACACGACATCTGGCATCTGTGCTTCTGTCATGGCTTCCACTAACCCGAGACCTGTTTTGTGTCACTACGGCTTTGAGCAGGTGGAAAAAGAACCCAGGGTTTAATGGTCAGTCAGAGGCCTCCTTCACCGTGTTAACACCAGCCCGACAGCTCGCCCTGTTTCCTTGGGCATTGATAAGCTGCTCATAATGCTCACCAGAGGAAACTAATTACATTGCATAGCTGGCAGCCTCAGTCTCCCAGCAATTTCAGGCCTTCAAGAATCCTGTAAGTAAATACATGAATGGAAGGCTTTAGCTGACCCATATAATTCACACAGAGTTTCACTGAAGCTCTGGGACATCTTCAGCGCACCTCAAAGCCTTTAGTTCTTTCATAACAGCCTTATGAGGTTGCATTGCTCAGCTGCAATGGGAAAAGAGCCACTAGGAGATGAGATGACTCAGTTAAAAGTCACAAAACTTTCATGGTGGAACTGTGGATGAACCCTTATCTACCAGCCTGGCTCTGCCATGTCAATTTTACTAAACCATGCAGGGCTGCTTTTAAAAAAATTAATTCCAGCAATCACAATTCTTTCCAGACACTAAAATATGTAGTTATGCAGTTCACTGAAGCCCACCAAAAGATATACTTGTTCTGGAAAGCACTTCTTCCTCTCAGGGCACATTTATTTAAAATGTTATGTTAGTACAATTTGCATTTTTTTTCCAAAGCAAATTTATAGCAGAGAGAATTTAGAAAAGGAGGGAATAGATACACACCTATCATCTCTTCAGAAAAAGAATGGGACTGAGGCTCCACAGCACATAGAGATGGAGTTTGTTTATTCTTTTCATCTGTTACCATGTTCTCTTTTGCAAATAATGTTAAATGAGGAGGAAATGAACTGAGAAATACATGCAGTCTCATTATCATGTCTCCTTTTTTTGTGATAACAGCACTAGTAGGTTGTGGATAAAGTTTGTAAGAGCAGGTACATTGATTAGGAAATCAGAAAACCTCTTACATACACTTGCAACAAACCCTGTATTGAAGACAAAAAATTCAAGTTTATAGTTTACAGCACTGTTTTTTCAGGTGTGTTCTATGTATCAGTGACTTACCTGTATTTTGAGTTCCCATTCCAGAATGCAAGTGCAGGAAGAGGGATCAGAGTATATTAAAAAACAAACCTAAACTAAACCCAAAAACAAACAAACAAAACCAAACAAACAATAAACCCAAACCAGAAAAAGCTATAGAGAGATAGGAAGAGAAATTTAGGCAGAGCTTGGTTATGGCACAGTAGTTGTGAATCATTAACAGGCAAAGAAAGGAGGAAGGGATAGAGGGGAGGACAAAGGTTATAGTGGTATATACAGAAGAACAATCCAGAAAGCTGTATTCATTAAGAAGGTATATTTTTCAAAACACATCTTAGGAAGGGATATAAACTAGGAAAAGGACTTGACTAGTTTGGAGATGTTACTATGTATTTTATATATGTTCTTAGAGGTCTCCTGTTGGTATCCCAGTGATAAATAAGTGATCTCACTGGCACATGTTACTTCCACATTCATCTTCCCAGGAGAGTTTTTGTTTTGGTAGGTAGGGGATGTTTTTGATATTCTTATCAGGAGTAAGAAAACAGATGGACTATTTAAGAGGAATGTATAGTCACGTAGGACAGGAAAAATAACTTCAGTTTGATATGCAATTAATTGGGGGATCTGTCAACTATTTTAAAAATGCATGGAGGGAGAGAGGATTTCCTGCTCATGAGGGAAGCAACGCTTAAAAACAGAAACATAAACTTCATCCTCTCAAATCTACTGGAAAAAATAGAGTGGCACACTATTAGAAAGAGTACAAGACTGAACTGTGTAGTCACTTTATACAAAATGAGAAAAAATGGATGAATGCTTTATACAGTGTTTCTGCTACCACAGGTGATATTAATGTAGAACTAGAAAACTGATGCCACAGCTCAATGTATATATATTTATATTAGCAGTCCTGTTTTGTCTGGAGTGGCAAAATATATAAAAAACCTTATATAAAATTTCCTTCTGCCTCATTTATCTGCACTCAGTCTTAATACTTGGATTCCTAAAATTGTATGGCTCCATCTCCACATTTCATATATTAGTAGAGTAAAAATTTACATTTTCTGCTCCAAAGATAGAAAGTCAGCAAAGCACAAAATGCAGCTCCAACTCTGAGTTCCCCTTACTTCCAACTGTGCGGTATTTCTACCACATTTTGAGGGGTTTTTTGCCTCCAGACTTTCTTTTCAGTATAGTTCACTGTTGGATGTAGACAAAATCAGGTGTTACCCCTATGACACAGATAAACCGGAGCAGGAAAGACATCCTTCCCCACCTCATGTTTTGCAGTGCAAAAAATACTCACTAATGAGGCACTCACTAATAACCCTGGTGGTCAGGAAGTCCAGATTGGTTTGGGCAGATGTCTGAGGGCTACACAGCCTGATGACTCTCCTTGCTAATCCCAAGTATTTCCTTCTCTTAAGGATGTATTTCTAAGGGCTCTTTTCTCCTCTGGTTCTCCCATTTCCTCTTCCTCTCAGATGCACCCTCTATCGCTACTCATCAGCATTGGGGTCGGATTCCACTCCTACAGTGAGAGAATGAGATTATTTCCTCCTCCATCTCCTCTTCCTCTTCCCCCACTGCTGCCAACTCCTGCAGCGGTCAGTGTTTTTTCTTAAAGCCTCAGGTGCAGGAATTATGTGTTTACGCAGGAATTTCATCTTCCATTGAGAATAAAATGTTCCTAGCAACTGCAAACTCAGTGCAACAGAAGACAAATATAAATAATGATCCACCTTTCAAAGTAGGGAAAAGGTTGCTTCAATTTCTGAGTGCTTGGACTTGAAAGCATGTTCCCTGTTCCATCTCCTTTCACATGTAGTGGCACTCAGTATAGTTGGCATTGGGTATAGCTAAAAATCTGAAGGCATCCAGCTCTAGCACTCAGCTCTTGGGGTGGGAGGAAAGAATCAGTCCAAAGTGCATTTTCATCTGAGCTGCTCAGGGCAGGAATGCCTGTACAAAGGGAAGAGGCATGAGAAAAAGGAAATGAAGGCTGTGATAGTTCTGGATCCCTCATACCCAAAATGACAAAGAAATATTAGAACTTCAGTACTCCTTCTTTTTAGTAAAATAACTTGTCTAAATAGGACCTTGTAGTAGTATCAACTGATACTCTGATCTTCAGACCTTTTTTATTGCTGCATACTTTGGAGCTATCACTGTTCCAGCCAGTTGACAGAAATGCTGATAACCAGCTGGAGGATGATTCATAATTATTAAAAGCTCAGAGGTGATGGGAGGAAAGACATCTCTGCCTTAACTCACTGGGACAGTCACCTTTCACCTATATTTACTGACTATTTTTCTGGATCAAAACAACTGGGACAAAAATAAGGTTCCACCTTTATTGGTTTCAGAGGAGTGTAATACCTATGGAGACTAGTTACAGAATAGATCTCATATCCACACCAAGTAGTTTACATAAAGTTAATGGAAACATCAATTCAAAGCACTACATAAAGTCATCATAAGTAAATAAAATTAAATTTGGGTTGTTTTACGAAGACAAAGAAAAAGAGGGAAAGAGCAAGAAAAGTCAGTCTCGGTTTGGGCGTATTCAGTGATTTAGCATAAGCTGATTGCAGTTCAATGCTAAAATGGTATCAGCTCCAAAGAACCTAGACTGGATAGGCAGAAACTAAGGGAAAAGAACCAGCCAGCAACCAAGTATCACACCATTGCTCACTCCCTCACCAGTGGCATTGGGAGAGAATCAGAACGGTAAAAAGCTGGAGAACTCCTGGGTTGACATAAAGACAGTTTACTAGGTAAAGCAAAAGCCACTCACACAAGCAAAGCAAAACAAGAAAAGAATGAATCACTGCTTCCCAGGGGCTGGCAGGTGTTCAACCACGTCCAGGACAGCAAGGCTCCATCAGATGTAACAGTTACTTGGGAAGATAAATGCTGTCACTCCAAATGTGCCCCCCTCCCTCTTTCTTCCCCCCACTTTTTTTACTAAGCATGATGTCATGTGGTCTGGACTATCCCTTTGGTTAGTTTGGGTCACCTGTCCTGGCTGTGTCTTCTCTCAATCTCCTATGCACCCCCAGCCTCCCTGCCAGCAAGGCAGCATGAAAAGCAGAAAAGTCCTTGGCTCTGTGTAAGCATTGCTCAGCAATAACAAAAACATCACTATATTTGCAGCCCTGTGTTCAGCAGAAATCCAAATCATAGCCCTTTACCAGCTACAGTGAAGAAAATGAACTCTACCCTAGCCAAAACCAGCACAATCCAAGCTACTAAATAAGGACTATTTAAGACAATATTCAGCTATGAGCATTACTTGAGAGTCTTTTTACCATAGGAAATGTGCCCAAGTTGAAATCAGGTTAGGAATTACTTGGGTTCATTGTGTGATAGATATTGAGCTGTGTATTAATCACATCCATTCCAGTTCCTGTTATCCATGTGCAATGGATCATCACTAATACCTGAAGGGTCAGCTGGACACCAAAGGTTATGCCTCTGTGGAATTTATAATTTCTCATTGCAAATATCTCTGAATTGGAGAAGTGGCATGGAATTCCCCTGTGTGGATAAACGGGGCATTTGTTCCCAGAAGAGTGAACTGGTCAGCAGCGATAAAT